GCATAACTCACAGCCAGCTCTTCCCCCTGCCCCCACACCCTCTGCTCAGGACCTGCTCGTCCAAAACTGCGTCTCCAGCGTTGGCGCGGTGTTCATCGAGACGACGCCGTTTTCATGCACGCGCTGCAGCTTCGCGCGCAACACCGCCAGCTCCGGCGGGGGGCTCTACGCGAGCGGCAGCGACACGCCCTTGAACCTCACAGACTGCCTGTTCTCCGCCAACGACGCCGCGGACGTCGGGGGCGGCGCGGCGGTGGAGCGCTCCGCGACGCTGACGGCCACGCGCGTCGTGTTCGAGAAGAACCGCGCCGTCCAGGCCGGCGGCGGCCTCTTCTTCAGCAGCGGCGATAACCTGTATGTCTTCCAGAGCGCCTTTGTGGGCAACAGCGTCGAGCAGAGCGCGACCGCGTTTGGCGGCGGCGTGTACGTCAGCTCGCACAGCTCCGCCAGCGCGCCGCCGTACACGACGATCCTCATCCACTCCACCACGTTCTACAATAACGAGTTCCCCAACAACCCGACCCAGGCGGGGGAGGGGACCGGGCTGCACCTGAACCTCAGGCAGGGGCCGCCGGCCGTCGCGAGCGTCGTCAACTGTATCCTTTGGCGCGACGGCGCCAACGCGTACTCTGTGTACTACACGTCCCTCTTCTCCCTCAACAACCCCAGCATGCCCTTCCACCACAACGACTGGTCCGGCACGGCCGCCGCTGGCGCCGTCGGCGCGGCCAGCAACGGCACCGTGATCGACGCTGACCCGCGGCTGCGGTCGATCACGCTGCCGTGGCCGGCCGGCCAGCAGGGGCCGGTCACGTTCTGGGTCCCGCAAGCTTCCAGCCCCGTGGTCGACGTTGGCGACAACCCTGGCAACGACTTGGCCGACATCCGCGGGCTGGCCCGCGTCGTCGGCGCGGCCGCCGACATCGGCGCCGCGGAGAACCAGGCGCCCGTTGCCGCGTCCAACCTGAGCGCCACCCTCAACGAAGACACGGCCTTTGACGCGCCCGCGCCTGGCGTGCTGAGTGGGGCAATTGACGCTGACCAGGACGTGATGACGGTTTCGGTTGTCCTTGGACCCACCAATGGCACCCTTGCCTTGGCGGCCAACGGGTCTTATAAGTACGTCCCGAATCCCAACTTCTTTGGAGTTGACGGGTTTGTCTTCCAGGCGTCGGACGGGGCGAGGGCCAGTGCTGCGCAACGTGTGACCCTTATCATCCGTAAGTGACCGCCGGGCCCGCGGCATCGCAATCCTTTCGTGGAGCCATACTTGCTGAGGGTGACGCACAGGGTTTTGTGCGTGCTGCAGGCGTGTGATGTATGCCGCCGGCCTTGCACGCACGTGCTCTCAAAATCCCTTGACCACTGCACCAAGGCTGTGCTCCCTTGACGCTTCTGTGCGCGACCCCTGGCAAACGGGATGGCCTCCCCCTCACAACCCCTTCCACTGGCAAACCTCTTGTGTGCCACGTCTCGCAGTCCCAGTGGAGGACCCACCAATTGCAGGGAATGTGACGTACAGCGTGAACCAGGACTTCACATTGTCAATCCCCGCGCCCGGCGTGCTGAGCCGCTCTGTAGACTACGATCCCTCCGACACGTTGACTGCTGTCTTGCAGCGCGGCAACGGGCCCAACAATGGTGTTTTGACCCTGGCAGCCGACGGCTCCTTCAATTACACGCCCAACACCGGGTTTGCAGGCGTAGATGGCTTCAATTTTACAATGAAAGACTCCGGTGGCGGTGCTGACGCGCAGGCCTATGCAGCAATCATTATAGGTGAGCCACACGGCATCTGACAGCAAGGAATCCGGCGGGGGGCAGCGCGCCTGTGTGACTGAGGCCGTTGGTGCGGTGTCTGCGCTTCCCCCTCTCAATGTATGCTTGGACTGCTGGTGTTTTTGGTGCTGATGTCACGGCCACTGCTGCCACCTCTGCTGCTGGTGCAGCTGCATTTGCCCGTGCTCAATCCTGATTGCGACCGTGCACCTACCTTGCAGCTCTCACACTCAAGCAGCCCCGATGTGCGACCCCTTTGCCCCCCGGCCTTTATGTGCAGTCCCTAATGAGCCCCCGAGCGCCACGGACCTTACATTCGTCGCCAAGGAGAGCACTGTGCTGACCATCGGGGCAGCGGCAGGCGTTTTGGCTGCGGCCACCGATCCTGACGGGGACCTGCCGCTGACTGCTGTGGTCCTGACGCGCAACGGCCCCCAGCACGGGGCTGTGAACCTTGGGCTGGACGGCTCCTTTGTGTACGAGCCGGTCGCCGGGTACAACGGCGCCGACGCGTTCAACTTCACTGTCAGGGACAAAAGAAATGGGACTGTGACGCGTCAGGCATTCATCAACATCAGTGAGTAGATTGGCTACATGCTCTGGGCTTTTGCAGCTGATTTAAACTTGGTGTCGTGGAGCTGCAGGGGCATGGAGTTTGCAGGGGGGTCTTGGGGGCCTGCATGCACGCAGCGGCGTCTTGACCTCGGCCAACGATCCCGGCGGCACGTTGTGTTTGTCACACTTGCACCCACCTGCATGCAGCGCAACACAGCCCGGAAACCACTCTCATCACCCCTGTTGGTGCTGCTGCGTGCATTTGCCCGCGCTCAATCCCAGCGGCCACCGTGCACCTTCCTTGCAGCTCTCAGCTCTCACACTCAATCGGCCCGAATGTGCGACCCCTTTGCCCCCTTGATCTCGCTGCAGTCCCTAATCAGCCCCCAAACGCCACAGACCTTACATTCGTCGCCAAGGAGAGCGCCGTGCTGACCATTGGGGCAGCAGCAGGCGTTTTGGCTGCGGCCACCGATCCTGACGGGGACCTGCCGCTGACTGCTGTGGTCCTGACGGGCAACGGCCCCCAGCATGGGGCTTTGAAACTTGGGCTGGACGGCTCCTTTGTGTACGAGCCGGTTGCCGGGTACAACGGCACCGACGCGTTCAACTTCACTGTCAGGGACAAAAGAAATGGGACTGTGACGCGTCAGGCATTCATCAACATCAGTGAGCACATCGGACGCACGCTCTGGGCTTCCGAAACTGAGTTGACTGAGTTGAATTTTTGACCTGGAGCTGCAGGGAAATCGAGTTTGGGGGGGGGCTTGGGGGTCTGCAGAACAGCGGCGTCTGAAACTTGGTGAGCACCTTGTGTTTGTCACACTTGGACCCGCCTGCATGCAGCAATATTGAGCTGAGCTAGGTTAACCTAGCGGGGAACCTCTCTCACCCCACCTTGACCTCTCTGCATCCCTCCGTGTCTGTGCCGCCAAACCCCAAGTCCCCAACCAGCCCCCCATCGGCACCGACTTATCCTTCACGGGCAAGGAGAGCTACCCAATGAGCATCAGCGCGGCAAACGGCGTTTTGGCCGTGGCCACCGATCCTGACGGGGACCTGCCGCTGACTGCTGTGATCCTGATCGGCAACGGCCCCACGCAGGGCACCCTCAACCTCCAGCCAGACGGGTCCTTCACTTACCTGCCGAACCCTGGCTTCAACGGGCTTGATGTGTTCAACTTCACGGTCAGAGACACGAGGGGCCAGTTCGTCACCCGCCAAGCTAAGCTTGTCATTGGTGAGTCAAGACAGACCAGGACTGAACTGCTTTTTTGAGGGTGGAGGATTGGGAAATGAAAAGTGAGGGGCGACACATCCTGGTCAGCAGGAGGTGCATGGCGCAGCCTCCGGTGGTGCATGCGGTGGGTGCAATGATGGGGACGGCGGAGGCTTGCACACCGCCCCCAAACAAAAATAGAGTTACGACCGCATGTCCATTATTTCATCACCTCGTCATTTGGCACCGTCGCCCAGTGGGCCGCCTCAGTTGTGCACCCTCGCTCCCCCTTGCTCGCCCGTCCGCTCCCTGCACGTCTGATCCGCCCAACCGCCCATCGACTCCCCTTGTCTGCCCTACGGCCCCCCAGTCCCCAACCAACCTCCAGTTGCAAGTGACGTGGCGTACATCGTCAAGGAGGGCAAAAACCTGACTGTGAATGCCGCAAGCGGCGTGCTGTCCAAGGCCAGCGACCCAGACGGGGACTTGGACCTGCCACTCACGGCTTCGATCCTGGCAGGCAGCGGCCCAAAGCAAGGCTCCCTCAACCTCCAGCCAGACGGGTCCTTCACCTACGCCCCCCTCGCTGGCTACAGCGGCGCCGATGCATTCAACTTTACTGTCAGGGACAAAAGGAATGGGACTGTGACGCGTCGAGCGTCCATCACAGTTGGTGAGTCAAGGCCGAGAGGCAGATGTTTTGGGGTGGGGTTGCGGGGCGGGGGCACGTGCAGATGGTGTGCCGTAGAGGTATCAACACTGTTTTGCAATTGATGTTGACTGGCCGAACACCAAAGGCGGGGGTTGTCGGGGCCTGCATAGATGAATACGGCGCGCAAACAAGTTTGGTGTGGTGCCACATGCGCCGATGATTGCACCTGGCTCAGAGTGGGTTTCGCAGCCACGGATGACAGCAATTTGCTTCAATCTTGGCTCTCCATGGTCCTTTATTTGCATCACTGCTTCAACGGCTTTGTTTGGCACCTTGCAGCTCCAAGCATATTCGCCCAGCTGGCTGCAGCCACATGAAAGAGCGGCCCGGCGAGCTTGTGAGTTCCTTGGGGCCCATCCTGAATTTGCGTCAGACCTGATCAAACCTCACTGCCTGCCGGCCCAACCACCTACCACCAACCTATGCAGTGCCGAAGTATGCTCCTATAGCTACAGATGTGTCCTTCAAAACAAAAGAAGACATCGCCCTCACCCAAGCGGCACCTGGGGTGCTGTCCAATGCGAGCGACCCAGATGGCGGCTTGCTGACGGCCTCACTAGCGTCGTCGCCACTGCATGGGAATGTCAGCCTGAGCCCGGACGGATCCTTTGTTTACACGCCTGCAGCAGACTTCAACGGCCAGGACAGCTTCAACTTCACCGTTTCAAATTCAGACCGCCTGTTTGTGGTGCGCCAGGCATCCCGAACAATCGGTGAGTTCAGTGTCTGCTGCATGACCGTGGCAAGCGCGAGCGAGGCAGTTCACAGCGAGACGCCGCCCCCCGCCAGCCTGCGAGCAGCCCCTCTGCCATTTGATTCGACTGCACCTCGTGCCTCACCTCTGCTGCTGCGCATCAGAGTCATGTATACTCGTGCTTTTGCAGCCTACGTAAGTGTCCATCCATTGATGTCTCAATCCCCTGCTCCTGACCCGCGCTAACCTGCAGAACCTGTGGAGGATCCCCCCAAGGTGGTGGGCCCACCCCCTGTTTTCAACACATCCAAGAACACGGTCCTGTTTGTACCATTGTCTGGCTTGACAGAGCCACCAGGGGCTGTTTTTGCAAGCGCTGAAGGCGGCGGCGGCATATCTGTCAGCGTTGCCAGCCTGCCCGATGGATCAAAAGCATTGCTGACACACGACGACGGCATTGTGCAGTACATACCAAGATACAGAGTTCTGGGGAGGAGCGCATTTGGAGTTGTGGCCCGCACGCAGAGCGGGCTCACCTCGGAGAATGTCTCAGTTGCAGTCAATGTGCTGAGTGAGTATAAGGTCTTGCTTGCCTGATGGGGGAGAGTGCATGCACGTTACCATAACCGCGCGCGTTATTGCCCAATCAGCACGCCCCACAGGTGTGTGCTGACACATGCATGTGCAACCTGCTGCTAGACTCGCCACGGAGTGATTCAATAATTCAAAGCTTTGCCCTCTCTCAGAGCCCTGTGTCACACCCACGCCGCCATTCGGCCCCGCCCCCGCCCTCCCCGCAATTGCAGACACCAAGCCCCAGTTGGCGCAGCCATCAGTCACCGGCTTCAAAATGCAGGTGACAGGCTGCCTGCCCGCCGACATCCAGATCGATGCAGTCCGCGTCACCGCGGGCCTCGTCCGTGTTGTCGCCAACAAGAAAGGCAAGACCATTGATTACGGCATCCCTGGGCGCGTCAAGATCACCGCCCGACCTCTGAACGCCACCTTGGCCAAGGCGGTGGAGGGGAAGTGCAGCTTTTTGGTGCCTGCGCGCCTCAAGGCGGCGGATTCATATGATGTCAAGAGGAAGGGCTGCAAGGCCTGCCACCGCTGCATGAAGGCGCTCAAATTCAATTGCGCAGAGACGTACCGGCTGCGCGTGCAGGCGCAGACCTGGGGCGGCTTGCGCACCAGCGCTTGGTCGGTTGACCTGCTTGTGAAGGCCGATTGCTCACCAGCTGCGGCCGCGTGCTACGGTTGAGGGGTGATACAGGCTTGGTGCCGCCTGTCACATTAAATGACGCTGGCTATTCACTGCGTATAAATTGCGACGGCGCTGCCCCATCTCCAAATTCCTGAAATGGAATAATGGAAGAGCTTGCAACACAAATCAAGCGCGGCATCGGCACGCCGCACACAGCACCCGCACAATGGCATTGTGCACTGCAAAGTAGAGCAACTTGCACAATCAAGACGCCTCGATGACATCCATTAATAGAGACTGCATTGCAAGGCCACATGGCTTTGCTCATCACAACTTTGAGGCCGTGCTGCACATGCATCTGTAACTCATCCGTCCACATGTATACATGCACTCCCTACAGCAAATAGTATGAGATGCCATTGTGCGCTGCCCGCCCGCCGTGAGCCCTCAGGCGCCGCCCTTCGTCCTTTTTCTAAGTGCCGGCCGACGTGGGCATATCCGGCTATGAAAGAGCCGATGCGATCGCCGCAAGAGTTGCAAAAGAGCTCAGACCAAAGAACCTGGCATCAAGCAGATGCCAGGTCTCACCATCCCTCTTAGCGACAACCGCCGCAGCCGGTGGTGGTGGTGGGGGCCGTGCGCAGCCAGACTTGCTGTTTCCACTGCTATAGGTGTTGTTTTGTATTCGTGGGTGTGGCTTGTGTGCGCGCGTGCACAAGCCAGCGAGCGCGTCCTTGGTGGGGGGGCGCTAGCTGCCGCGGCCTCTGCCCCGCGCAAGCCGGGCCCCTCCTTGATTCACACGGCGACAGGCATTACAGCCTGCGTGACCTCTCGCTCTCCCTCTCAAGCCGGCGCGCTGTCTCATCATGTTTGCCTGTCCGACTTCTGCGCAAGATCTCCCGTCTTTGCCAATTTGCTGGGTTTGTTCGCACATCACACCTTCCCGACCACAATTTGCTCTGGGTCACCTTGCTTGCAAGCCACCCCGGCTTGGCACCCCTGCTCGCGCGCGGCCTGAATGCAGGGCCCCAGGCTGCCGCCACCGCGGATGGTGCAGGTGCCGGGCGAAAAGTGGAAACCCGGCCATCAACCTGCGGTGTGCCTTCGCCCCGCTGGCATGCCCCTGCTGCGATTGCTAGTGGCCCTGCGGAGCGGGGCACGCATCAGCTGCTTGCGGGCGGCCGGGGCTCAGGTGCGTATTTTACCGCTGCCACAGGCTGTCAGATCCACGCCACCATCATCTTTTTGAAAATCCAGCTTTCAAGACCACAATTACCTCCGATGCGTGCACTGCATGCAATGTTTGCCCTCATGGGTGGTTTTGACCAATTATCTGTCGCTGGGTGGTCATCGTCATCAATTGCCTGGATGATATCAGGCCGTCGTTGGAAGCAGTACGTGCCATTTGATTCCAAAAGAGTGCCTAAGACTGCGCTGCTCAGGGGCTGCAAGCAGGGCATATACACCAAGTAGTGCACGATCATGCGCTCGTGCTGCGCCATGCGCTCGCCTATCCACCTGCCTGTGAGCGATTGGACTCACCTGCAGTCTTGTGCACGATTGAGTCACTCCCTCGAACCAGGTGGGGTACGTCCTCATGATATTGGTCACCGAAAGAAACCAATAGATGTCGTGACCCAATCCTGCGTCATGCTGGGTGAGGTTGATTGTGTGAAAAAATGAGTGATGAAGTTGCACCGTCAAGGGATGGACCCCATGCTTTTGGCCTGCGTTGCGAACAGAAATAAGTATACTCCTACTCTGGTATATACATGGCGACGGTACCCCAGCATCGCTCTTGTGGGGTGTCCAACCCGCCCTGGTCCAAACGGCCGGCGCCGCATTGTCCATTGACGTCATCACCAGCGGCTGACCGTGTGGGTGTGTTGCTGGGCAGCTGCTCGCGCAGATGTCGAACCGGTATCGTGGCCGCAAGGATGACTTTCCAGCTCACCAGCTGTCGGCACACCCGTGGCACTGCTGCTAGGGCAAATGGTGATCTGAGCCCCAGCACCCCTGCAAAACCGTGCATTGTGAGATCCTGTATTGCGTTATTAGTGTCTTTTGCCCTGCGTCTCGCGTTCCGCACCTTCTCTACTCCGTTGTTGCCAGTGTCGAGGCCAGCTCGAGCAGGGGCTCTCCTGGGCCTCGCGCGCCCATTCTTCGGCGTCATTTTGGGCGGTTGTGGCGTCAAGCTCACATCTCAGTTCGAGGCCGTCCGCGCCCCTCTGGCGAGACGCGGGCGGGTCACCCACGAAGGGAGCCTGGCACGATGCTGCCAGCAGTGAAGGTGCCGAAGGAGCTGCTGCAAGTCAGGCCGACGGTGCTGGAGGTGGGCTTGGCGCGCCGGCGTCGTGCGGCGATCCTTGACGCCGTGCCGACTCATTGGGCTGGCAACTAGCCCGCGCCCTGTCGCGCCTCCTGCGGAGCACCGCGCCCCCATCCCCTCCCTGCAGCGTGTGTGCTCACCCTGAACCCTCCTGCACAGCTTCCTCCTCCCTGCGCATCCACGCCCCCGCCTGCCCGGCCCCTGGCCCGACCCCGGCCCCCCCACCCTGCCCATCCCCCTGACAGGAGTATGTGCGCCACCGCCTGCTGCAATTCATGACCGGCCTCTCCCTGCGCCTGCGCGTGCTGTCGCCGGGCGCAAACCTCGAGCTCCTCGACCGCGCGGCGGCGGAGGCGCTGCAGGGCCTGCCGCCGCCGGATTATGGGCACGTGCCCGTTGAGCTGATGGAGCTGCAGCTGGTGTTCAGACACGACTGCCAGTGAGAGGCCGGGGCCGGGCTGGGTGAGGGACCGGCGC